AGTGGATACTACTGTAGAGTCAGCAGATACTACTATAGAGTTACTTTTTACTACTATAGAGTCGGTAGATACTACTGTAGGGCCAGTAGATACGACTAAGCTTCAGTCGTTACTGCTACAGTCAGTAAATACTACTACACAGTCAGTAGCTATTACTGGCTCAGATACTACTGTACAGTCAGTAGACGCAACTACAGAGTCAATAGATACTACTTCTTATTGTGCGTAGGGTGTGTAGGTATATATACCTACGTGGGGGTAAAGATATATTTTGAGCGGGGGGGGGGGGGTGTCGACAATTTTCAAAAACCTTTTAAATCAACTATTAACCCCACACTTTCTATTACTTCTTGGAAATTTGCAAGCCTCTTATAATTTTGTTGGTGCTGAAATGGACAAATGGCCCACCGGGCTTTCACAATCTCTTGGTATCTGTGTATGTACATTTAAGGTTTTTAAGAGTAGTTCTAAAACATTTTTTTGACCCGGGCAATGCCGGGTACTTACCGCTAGTCTCATATATAAAAGTTACTGTGCGAGTGCGTGCTAGCCAGGGATTTGGCTCTTGGACCGCGGGGTTCGCGTAGAGTCGCGCATATTTACAGCTCCGTTAAAACATAGATATTACTCTTTACTAATTTGTATTACACTTAATTATTAGGTCAGATGATAGAGGTTGAGCAATGTTTGATGATCGTACATATGCACAATGTAACACTTTTTTTTCCCGCCCTGGGTAGTAAGTGTTATTTTTAATTTGCTTAAGCCTACTATTTTTGGAATATTTCTTATTCCCCACAAACTTTGCTTTTGTGACCAGGCCTTTATGTGAAGGAATGACACAAATGCACACCACGTATTATCATTGAAAATTGCTACATTTCTAAATATGTCCTTGACACAAAGCTAAGTTTGAGGGGAATTATAGCTTTTGGGTACTTTTGAGGCATAAGCATATAGAGAGTAACACTTACTACGCAGGGACTACATAAAGAATCACTTTTTTGTTACACTGTTTATTTATGATACCAAATTTGCTCCTTTTAGACTTTTTATTATTTAAATAAATAAATGTGCTTAGGCTTTGTTTCCAGCTTATTCACAGTTTCCCCCTCTGTGCGCGGGTTGGTCAGTGATATCTTTATTCGGCTTTATTTGTGTGCATCTCGACATAGTTACAGGTCACGTAAGTTTTTTTTATTATTATTAGTTTATATTTTTACACTTTTGCTCGCGGCTAATTAAAAAAACAAAATGGCGGCACATTAGTGAGTGTATGGTGTGTGAGTGACTCAGCGTATAATCACTGCTGTAATCATAGCAGGTACCACCACTGTCAGTGCACTGCTGTGATCATAGCAGGTACCACCACAGTCGGTATACACTGCTGTCGTCATAGCAGGTACAACCACAGTCGGCATACACGGCTGTAGTCAGTAGGTACCACCACAACAGTATGCACTGCTGTAATCATAGCAGCTACCACCACAGTCTGTATGCACTGCTCTAATCATAGCAGGTACCACCACCATCGGTATTCACTGCTGTAATCATAGCAGGTACCACAACAGCAGTATGCACTGCTGTAATCATAGCAGGTACCACCACAATCAGTGTTCACTTCTGTAATCATAGCAGGTACCACAACAGCAGTATGCACTGCTGTGATCATAGCAGGTACCACCACAGTCGGTATACACTGCTGTCGTCATAGCAGGTACTACCACAGTCGGAATACACTGCTGTAGTCATAGGTACCACCACAACAGTATGCACTGCTATAATCATAGCAGGTACCACCACAGACAGTATGCACTGCTCTAATCATAGCAGGTACCACCACAATCAGTATTCACTGCTGTACTCATAGCAGGTACCACAACAGCAGTATGCACTGCTGTAATCATAGCAGGTACCACCACAATCAGTGTTCACTTCTGTAATCATAGCAGGTACCACAACAGCAGTATGCACTGCTGTGATCATAGCAGGTACCACCACAGTCGGTATACACTGCTGTCGTCATAGCAGGTACTACCACAGTCGGAATACACTGCTGTAGTCATAGGTACCACCACAACAGTATGCACTGCTATAATCATAGCAGGTACCACCACAGACAGTATGCACTGCTCTAATCATAGCAGGTACCACCACAATCAGTATTCACTGCTGTACTCATAGCAGGTACCACAACAGCAGTATGCACTGCTGTAATCATAGCAGTTACCACCACAATCAGTATTCACTGCTGTAATCATAGCAGTAACCACAACAGCAGTATGCACTGTTGTGATCATAGCAGGTAACACCACAGTCAGTATGCACTGCTCTAATCATAGCACGTACCACAACAGTATCCACTGCTATTATGATAGCAGGTACCACCACAGCGGTATGCACTTTTGTAATCATAGCAGGTACCACCACAGTCAGTAAGCACTGCTGTTATCATAGCAGGTACCATTAAAATATGTACTGCTGTAATCATAGCAGGTACCACCACAGCCAGTATGCACTGCTGTAATCATAGCAGGTTCCACCACAGTCGGTGTGCACTGCTGTAGTGAAAGCACATGCCACCCCAGCAGTATGCACTGCTGTAATCATAGCAGGTAAAACCAAGTCAGTATCCACTGCTGTAATCATAGCAGGTATCACCAGTCAGTATGCACTGCTGTAATGATAGCACGTACCACCACAGTATGCACTGCTGTAGTCAAAGCAGGTTCCAACACAGTATCCACTGCTGTAATCATAGCAGGTATCACCAATCAGTATACACTGCTGTAATTATCGCACGTACCACCACAGCAGTTTCCGATGCTGTACTGAAAGCAGGTACCACCACAGTCAGTATGTACTGCTGTAATCATAGGTACCACCACAATTAATATGCACTGCTGTAGTGATAGCACGTACCACCATAGTCAGTATGCACTGGTCTAGGGAAAGCATGTCCCACCAAAAGCAGGCATGCACTGCTGTAGTCATAGCAGGACACCACCACAGTCAGCATGCAATGCGGTCGTCATAGCAGGATACCACCACAGTCAGCATGCACTGCGGTAGTCATAGCAGGAAACCACCACAGTCGGCATGCACTGCTGTAGTCATAGCGGGATACCACCACAGTCGGCATGCATTGCTGTAGTCATAGCAGGATACCACCACAGTCAGCATGCATTGCTGCAGTCATTGCAGGATACCACCACAAGTAGTATGCACTGCTGTAGTGATAGCAGGTACCACCACAGTCAGTATGCACTGCTCTAGGGAAAGCATGTCTCACCAAAAGTAGCTATGCGCTGCTTTAGTCATAGCTGATACTGCCATAGTCAGTATGCACTGCTGCAATCATAGCCAGTCCTACCATAGTGAGTATGCACTCTGTAATCATAGCAGGTACCACCACAGTCAGCATGTACTGCTGTAATTATAGGTACCACCACAGTCGGTATGCACTGCTGTAATAGCAGGTACCACCACAGTCAGTATGCACTGCTGTGGTCATAGTAGATACTGCTATTCAGTTGGTACATCATGCTATATAGAGTTAGTAGATACTAAAACAGTCAGTATATACCGCTACGGTCAGTAAATACTGCTACAGTCAGCAAATATGACTACACATCAGTAGATACTACTACGGTTCGTAGATACTGCTATAGAGTCAGTAGATACTACTTATACAGTTAGTTGATACTGTTATACAGTTAGTATTTACTATTATAGTCAGTGGATACTACTATAGAGTCAGCAGATACTACTATAGAGTTACTTTTTACAACTATAGAGTCGGTAGATACTTCTGTAGGGCCAGTAGATACGACTATGCTCAGTCGATACTGCTACAGTCAGTAAATACTACTACACAGTCAGTAGCTACTACTGGCTCAGTAGATACTACTGTACAGTCAGTAGATACAACTACAGAGTCAAGAGATACTACTTACTCTGTTGTATGTATGCTGTATAGGTATAGATACCTATGCGGGGGTAAATATATATCTTTGGGGGGGGGGGGGGTGTCCACAATTTTCGGAAACCTTTTAGATCACCTATTTACCCCACACTTTCTATTAATTTTTGGACTTTTGCAAGCCTCTTATAATTTTGTTGGTGGTGAAATGAACAAATGGCCCACCGGGCTTTCACAATTTCTTAGTATCTGTGTATGTCTATGGAAGGTTTTTAAGAGTTGTTCTAAAATATTTTTTGACCCGGGCAACGCCGGGTACTTACTTAGTCCATAATAAAAAAAAAATTGGGGTTAGATCGCGTAAATGTGTCGTTAAATTAGTAAGGTTTTTCAGGTAAACAGAACATGCCAATTCATTTTGAGTACAGCGCACCGGTGTGTTGGAGAGCAAATCCACAACATTTCCAATTTGAGTTCGACGTTTCGCCAGTAATTACAACTAGCTTCATCAGTCGACAGCCAGATTGTAAATGTTGTGGATTTGCTCTCCAACACACCGGTGTGCTGTACCAGTAATCGAATTGGCACGTGCTGTTTACATGACAAACCTTACTAATTGGCCGTGTCGGGTGGTGGCGGGTTTAACGACATTTATATTTATGCGATCTAACCCCCCAAAAAACCCCTATATTATGAACTGAGTGCGACTATTTCACAGATGTCCAAGTTCTGTTAGCGAGCACCTACGAAGGCCCGAATGGCACACGAGGGAAGTGGGTAGCCAGCACCACGCCCGGCCGCCTTTGTCTCCCTCGGGGCGATTTTTACCCCTAGGTACCCATTTGAGGCTGAGTCTACCTAGATGGGGCCCAGAACCGGTTCAGATAATCGTCAAACGTGTTGGCCCAATTCACCGTCAACTATGTTAATGAGTTTCGCAACGTGCAGTGACGGGGTGTGTGGGGCGTAAGTTTGTGGGTGGGGAGTGAAGGGGTGGGAGGGGGGGGGAGGCTTGCGCGGCTTCTGATTGGAAGTTTATTTTTAGCTGAGCCGGGTCGGGCAATATAAGGAGAGGGAAGCAGCGGGACCCGCATTGCATGCAGAGGGACCGTGGGTGCGGGTTGATTGGTCACTGTGGTGGGGGCATCTCCAGTGAACAAAGGGCAAGCGGCAGGCTCTGCTCACCCCCTTCCCCTCCCCACACACACACGCGAGCTTAACACAGGAGGGACAACGCGTGCGACAATTAGGATTGTTCTACACGGGTGAATGGTCGTATTGTTGTAGGGCCGTACACATGGTTATTATATATTGTTTCCCCTTCCAATTGTCGGAATAAGTTTTCGGTTCGCTCGCTGGGTTTTTGTGGCGAGTCTCAAGGAGAGAAGTTGTTGGCTCAAAGTTGTGCAAGGACCCTGAGGAGTTTAGAGAGGTGAGTTGGGGGATGGGATGGGTGTGCTGGATGTTCGGTAGAATGTTTCGGACTAAGTTGAAGTTGGGGTCGTGTGTCTGAGTGAGTGTGTCTGAGTGTGTTTTGAGTTGTGTGTCTTTGAGTGTGTTTTGAGTTGTGTGTCTGGGTGTATGTGTCTGAGTGTGTGTCTGAGTGTGTTTTGAGTTGTGTGTCTGAGTGTGTTTTGAGTGTGTGTCTGAGTGTGTTTTGAGTTGTGTGTCTGAGTGTGTGTGTCTGAGTGTGTGTGTCTGAGTGTGTGTCTGAGTGTGTGTGTCTGAGTGTGTGTTTTGAGTGTGTGTGTCTGAGTGTGTTTTGAGTTGTGTGTCTGAGTGTGTCTGAGTGTGTGTCTGAGTTTGTTTTGAGTGTGTGTCTGAGTGTGTGTCTGAGTGTGGTCTGAGTGTGTGTGTCTGAGTGTGTGTGTCTGAGTGTGTTTTGTGTGTGTCTGAGTGTGTCTGAGTGTGTGTGTGTCTGAGTTGTAAAGAGTTTGTCAGACGTTGGTAAGAGTGGGCGCGGTGGTGGAAGCGGTTCGCGCACCGCGCTACTAAACCCGGTCCTCCCGAGTTCGATTCCCGTTCACGGCCAACAACAAGTGACCCATTATATTCCACCAGTCCCGGGCCTCCCCTAGGTCGACTCGGCCTCATGAGTACCTGGTGCGTGGCGTGGTTGTTGGCCAACCACCCCCTCGTTTAGCGTGCCGGCCTTAATAGGTGCTCGCTAACAGCACTCGCCCCAACAGTCTGTTAAAGACTATAACGTGGGATCTTTTGTAAGAGGTTTGATCATTTCGTCTGTAGTTTGCCAAATGTATTGGTTAGTTGAGTTGCTGGCATTTTGTTCGTTGAGACCTTGGAATTCAACTCGTCTGCAGTGCACTGCAGACGCGCACTGTGAGAACTACTGCAGTGGCACTCATGTGCGTCAACATAAGTTTGGGCCCATGCGTGTCGTTCAAGAAGATATGTGGGGATGATAGACACTCCATCATGTAATATAATGCAATAATATACTACGGTACCATTTCGAAGACGCCTGGCCACCGTGGAAGAGTAGGCCCAATACTGCACCTTCAGCAGGGGGAGTGGACGCAGCCGCGTCGGGATTTCTTCGTTAATTCTTGAAACGTTGATAAGTGCTGCTTGTTGCTGGCCGCTCGACGTGTTCGGCCTTTGGGGCCTGTCTGCTCCGGTCTACTCTGCAACAGTCTACAGTCCACTGCTGCATACAGAACACAGATACAGCCATCACCTTCAAGTCCCGAAATGTCATGGAGTACACCTCATGGCATCTGTGATAAAGAGCTTTGTAGCTCCTTGACAGAGTGTTTGTTTGGGGGGTTAGATATTGTAAATATAGATGCGTCGTTAAGCCCGCCACCACCAGCTAGACAATTAGTAAGGTTTGTCACGTAAACAAAACGTGACAATTTGTTATACTCGTTCAGCACACCGATGTCTTGGAGAGTACGACGTTTCGCCATCAGGCAGACAGCCTCCCTGTTTCGGTCTTAAATCTAAGGATAAATGTCACATCACTTGTGAGCTTCATAGCTCATCGGATTCCTCCAGCTTAAATATTCTGGTGTGTCGTGACCCCACAGTGAAGAGAGGAACAGCAGCGGGAGGAGGAGGAGATCGAGGAGAGACATCGCTGCTGTTGAGACAGCTGGCGGGCACGACCATGGCGGGCGTTACGACGCGCAAGAAGCTGGTGGTGGTGGGAGATGGTGCGTGTGGGAAGACGTGTCTGCTGACGGTGTTCAGCAAGGATAAGTTCCCCGATGTGTATGTGCCCACCGTGTTTGAGAGCTACGTGGCTGACATCAAAGTGGACGGCAGGCAGGTGGAGCTGGCCCTGTGGGACACGGCCGGGCAGGAGGACTACGACCGCCTAAGGCCGCTCTCCTACCCTGACACCGACGTCATCCTCGTGTGCTTCTCCGTGGACAGGTGAGGAGGGTGGGGATGGGTGGAGGCACCCAGACTGATACACGTGGATATCATCTTGAGTGTTCTTGGAAGATGATGGAATATGGTCGTTAAAAAAATGACCTCAACATCGGCTTCAATGTGGACAGGCAAAGGGTGGCCAGGTGGTTGGATACCTAGGACATAGAATTATCATGTATTTATCAGTGGATTGGTGAGGGTGGGAGGTATGGACACTCATTACTATGGGATTATTGGTGGGCAGGTAGGGTGGTACATGGGTACACATTGGCGTTCAATGTGACCACTGCTGGAAGTGAACATCGTAATGAGGACAGGCGAGGGTCAGGCGGTACAGGTTCCCCACCCCTGCAGTAGAGGATAGTAAAACAGACATCTTGTATTCCTTTGGAGAGATGTTTATTGTGGTTGCACATTACAGGGTGGCCACAGAACTTGTGACATGCAAATACATACAGTTTAACATGTAGGCTTTCGCGACCAATATTATTCATAATAAATGTTTTTGGGTTAGATCGCATTATTTATAAATGTGTCGTAACCCTCCACCACCCAACACGGCCAATCAGCAAAAAAAGTGTCACGTTGACAAAAGACAAATCATTCACTACTTTAGCCCACCGGTGTGTTGAAGAGTGAATCCACAACATTTACAGTTTGAGTACGACGTTTCGCTGGTAAATACATCCAGCATCATCGGGCAATTCGCCAGAATGGTAAAGCCCTCGTTTGCTCCCGGTTTTATATAGAGCAGCAGGGTGACGTCATCATTTAACTCATATCAGGTGCAGTGATTAGAGGCGGAGGGGGGGTATTGTAATTATTTAATCGATTAGTAATCAGTCAATGGTTATGATTAGTAATGAGTTGTAGATTAGTAATTAGTTGTAATGTGTGTTAGTGATTACATGCTATGTTAGTAATCCGTTAATTAGTATGTGTTTCCCCTATAAGGAATTGTAATGTGCATTCATATTCTTAGCTCCCTCGGCAAAGCCACGCCGAAGGGAAACAACAAAACAACAAACATATTCTATTATTGTATTGCTTCCCCCCCAACGAAAGAGCCAAGAACATGAATTACTGCAGTCACGAAAGCTTTAAATCAAAATGTAATGTGTATTATTTAATAATACGCTTCCAGGCTGCACTAAGCCTGTAGCTGTCAGAGCGATTAAAGTTATTTTTATTCCTCTCAATTTCAATGGATTCTCTAATTAGTCTTTGCCAGTAATAATTAGTTTTACACACCACTGCAACATTGTCAAAATCAATTGAGTGTCCTTGTTGACAAGCATGTTCTGCCACAGCCGACAGTTGTGTTTGAGATAATTTAATATTTCTCTGATGTTCTTTTAGTCTTACGCTAATGTTACGTCCCGTCTGTCCAATATAGCATCTGCCACATAAACAATTAATCCGATATACACCTTCTGTTGATAATTTAGGTAATGCGTCTTTAGTGCAAGATACTAGTTTTTGAATTTTGTGTACTGTACCAAATCTTACTGTAATGTTTTGCTTTTGCAAAACACGGGCTAATGTGTCAGTTACTCCTGAGATATATGGAATTTGTATTGTTTTAACAATCTGATCGCTACTCTTTGGTTCTATTGGGTAAAGTCACGTAGGTGAAAATAAAATAACAAAAAATCACGACGTTTCGGCCACAACACAAGCGGCCTTCATCAGGTGAAGGGACGAGACTGTCTGGAGGACAGCGCTGTCCTCCAGACAGGCTCGTCCCTTCACCTGATGAAGGCCGCTTGTGTTGTGGCCGAAACGTCGTGATTTTTTGTTATTTTATTTTCACATACGTGACTTTACCCAATAGAACCAAAGAGTATGGATCCTAGCAGTCACGAAAGCTTTCAATCTAGAATCTGATCGCTTTCAGCAGTATTGCTTTGCGATCGTGATTTGGCATTCATTCGCTCTGACAGCTACAGGCTTAGTGCGGCCTGGAAGCGTATTATTAAATAATACACATTACATTTTGATTTAAAGCTTTCGTGACTGCAGTAATTCATGTTCTTGGCTCTTTCGGTGGAGTCGCGTTGGGGGGAAGCAATAAAATAATAGAATATATGTTTGTTGTTTTGTTGTTTCCCTTCGGCATGGCTTTGCCGAGGGAGCTAAGAATATGAATGCACATTACAATTCCTTATAGGGGAAACACATACTATCTTCTTTGGTTCTTTCGGTAAAGTCACGTAGAATGAGAATAAAATAATAAATTGATAAAATAAAATAACACAATAATATTCTCACGACGTTTCGGCCACAACACAAGCGGCCTTCATCAGGTGAAGGGACGAGACTGTCTGCTAGGACAGCGCTGGAGTGAAAGAGCCACGTTCAGATCACGACCTTTAAGCTGTGTGAGAGGAAACAAAGTGCCTTGACAAAGGAATTAGCATATAATTTAGCATACTAATTAACGGATTACTAACATAGCATGTAATCACTAACACACATTACAACTAATTACTAATCTACAACTCATTACTAATCATAACCATTGACTGATTACTAATCAATTATATAATTACAATACCCCCCCTCCGCCTCTAATCACTGCACCTGATATGAGTTAAATGATGACGTCACCCTGCTGCTCTATATAAAACCGGGAGCAAGCGAGGGCTTTACCATTCTGGCGAATTGCCCGATGATGCTGGATGTATTTACCAGCGAAACGTCGTACTCAAACTGTAAATGTTGTGGATTCACTCTTCAACACACCGGTGGGCTAAAGTAGTGAATTATTTGTCTTTTGTCAACGTGACACTTTTTTTGCTGATTGGCCGTGTCGGGTGGTGGAGGGTTACGACACATTTATAAATAACGCGATCTAACCCAAATACATACACATTGCTGTGAGCGGTAAGTCACGTAGTAAAGAAATGTATACCTGGACCCTAGCAGATAAGCCCTCTTTTAGAGAACGGCCTTTGGATGGTGACCTCTCACAAATATGTCTAAGGTTCCTTAAGTTGCCTTTTTACCCATACAAGGTGTTTTTTTTTTATTAAGGCTTCAGATTAGTGTCAGTCAGCCTGAGATGCAACATGACCTAATTTACAAGCTGATTGTGTTTTGGGGTTTGTTATTTTCTAATCCTAAAACAAAATCGGCCTCAATGTAAAGTGAGGCCGATTTGGTTTCCAAGATGTCTGATCAACGTGGAAGAATAAGCCAAATATATCCACTGGAGGTGATGGGAGTTGGGGGGTTCTCTGTAGAACTACAGTCTGCCAACATTAGTATGAGCAGGAATATGCAGGGCTGCAGCTCTACATTGTCCTTCCATGTCCCCTCAGCCCTGACTCGCTGGAGAACGTGTCGGAGAAATGGGTCCCCGAGGTGCAGCACTTCTGCCCCAATGTGCCCATCGTGCTGGTGGCCAACAAGAAGGACCTCCGTGGTGACAAATCCGTGCTGCAAAAGCTGGCACGCATCAAGCAGGAGCCCCTGAAACCCAAGGATGGGAGGACCATGGCATCTCGCATCCAGGCCTTCGACTACGTGGAGTGCTCTGCGAAAACCAAGGATGGTGTGCGTCTCGTCTTCGAGACAGCCAGCAGGGCCGCCATCCAGACGCAGTCCAAACGCCGCAGCCGCTCGTGCTTCAAGTGCAACCTGCTTTAACGGACATGGGGAACGTGCGTGATCGTGTGCGGTCAGGCGGACGTTTGTGGCGACTGAACCACTGTGCCCAGCAACACACCACTGGCAGCAATACAACCGCTGCTGCTGTCTGCACCTTCGATTGGCTACGTACGATGCGAAAGAAGTTCGATGTATGTGCACTCACATCGTGGTCAACGCCAAACAATACAGCCACTGCACACACTTAACTGCCAATGCCACAAGCTCGGTCGCATCAGCACTTGTGCCACTGCCAAAAACGTGAGCACAACCATGACCACCATCACTACTAGCTTCATTGTCAACACCAAAACCTTTTTTCTGCTGCCATCGTGGTGCTGATAGTGGTATTGACGACAACACTATCAATACCACTACCACGACTACTCATTACCACCTCCACTATCACCACCACCATCACTGCTACTGCCACTACTACCGTCGCCGCTTCCTCCACGGGCCTTTCAATGTCTTTACCAGCTCTCGATCTCCATGCTGGCCATTGAACCTCCCCAGAAGCTTCTTGACATCCTCCAATGTCCACCTTACCTGTCTGGCAGCATCACCAGCATCCTTGGCTTCTCAACGTCTGCAGCATCATCTTGAGCGTCTGTGGTACTCTGGGGGTAGTGTGGAAGCGGAGGAGGTAACGGGGGCAGTGAAGGAGAAGAAATATAGCTTTGGTAGACACAGTGGAGAGGTGGTGGGGACAGGGATGAGAGATGGTGGAGATGATGTAGAGTTGGAGGAGAATGAAGAAGTGGTGAAGATCATGTAGAGGTGGTGGCGACCCGGAAGAGTTGGTGTAGATGAGCCAGTCCTGAACAAAATGACACGGAATGATTTTGGCAAAAACGATGCAACTATCTTCAGCAATGCTTTCAGACTGCCTCGTGGAACGGTGCAGTCGACTGTCCCTGATGGCGAATGTGGACTTTTAAGATTACTAATATAGTAAATGCTTATCTTTAAAGGTAAATGTATATTGTACTTTGAAATGTTGAGCGATGTTGATTTAATTTATTTGCGATTTCTTTCAAGACATTTTTTGTCTTCTGTTTTGGACACTAATGAATTTAACCACTTGCGGCTAAAACTGAAAGCGTAAGTTTACACACCGGTTTGACTTTTAAAAGTAAATACTGTACAGAACTCTTTTGGTTGAAATGTCGAGGTAATTTTTTATTGTCAATTTAAGGTACAATTTTTGGGATTACACAACATATAATTTGGTCCTATCATGCACCTGTTGTTTGTGTTGAACATGAAAATCGGTTTACTTTTTATGGGCTTTGTGACGTGTAAACTGAGTTTGTAGACACACGTACATGTGCACTCATACTGTACACACGTACAAAACCTGTACACATACAACTCGCACACATGTACATTTATCTGTACACAAAGACAAAAAGTCCCCTTATAGGTTTTTTTAGGCCTTTTTGGAAGTGCTGGAAACATACTTAAAGCCTATACACGTACACTTACCCATGTACGCTCATCTATACACAACACATCTATGTACAGACATTTGCACTCTTGCACTAAGTTTATATACACACTTCACTGTGTACATGTACACGCTTACACTTACATATACATGTATGTTTACAGACGTGTATGAACAGGTACACACATGGTTTACAGTTCAAGCACTGCAGCTGTGTACATTTCACAATTTAACAAGTTGCCAATAATGGAATGAGTTTCACGGGACTACTTTAAACGAATCCCTTATCCTCTTGTGATTAAAAAGAACAGACCCCCCCCCCCGACTTTTTGCCCACGCATTTTTTAAAAAGTACCCAAATAAAGTTATTTGCGTGGAAAGAAGTTAATTTTAAAATCTTTACGTGAGCTTGGATGACTCAGAGGCAGTAATTGCACAAGCAATTGCACAAGCAGTGTACGCTGCTTTCTTAAACAATGGCACAACATTTTAGGAAGTCTTCAACGGATTTGTCCACACCATGATAATGTGGAATTTCCATCGCTGGCTCCCGGGGTCACCAAGAAAAGAAAATGGGCACTGCCACACACGGTTGTTTGGGCAGGGGAACACTTTGACTTGAAACATATATGCAGGTGGTTTATCCAGGAAAAGCCTGACATGGTTTCTGCATTTGGGGGGGGGGGGGGATAATTGCCATGTATGTACCAATTGAGTCATTTGTGGGTAATTTTTTTCGGATTAATATACTCGCAGAATTTAATCAAGGAGGCCACTGGGTTTGAACTGTGAACGTCCACCGTGAACGCTCTGCTGCTAGACTATCAATGGTGCTACGGTCTCGAAATGTTAACTACCTCGCCTGGTATACAGGAGATTGTGGGTTCCATCTCGACCCTGATGCCTCTATATTTGAAGGTTGTGTGTTCTTCCCCTGGTCGTGTGGATTTTTCTCTGCGTGCTCCGGTATTTTCCTCCACATTTAGAAACTGGTGTTTCGAGAATTGGCTGCTAGGCCTCTTTAAATTCCAGGTTATTGTGGCAGAGCCAGCATCTCCTTAGAGCAATCACTGTTCATGTTGGGCTTCCAGGAGGAAGGATTTGTTTTGATGAGGTCAGGTTGAACTTGGATGAGATTTGAACTAATTTAAAGGGCCTGTACTCACCAGTACGATCAAGTAAATGCCTTCCCGTGTGGGTTGTGCCCCTTTCCATTGGTAGTCCTGAAATGAAGGGAAGTACACATTAACATGACATGGGCCAGTGTATGCATATTATAACCACTTTACAAAGTACTGGATTACTACTTCGTAGATTTAGCTATTTGTGCTGAATATCTCCGATGTGTTTTTGGGTTGTACCATATGTTATTTGGCATGATGCCTGACATTTCACTCCACGTGCTTAGGGCTGGTTCAGAAACTGCGTTCAAATAATTCGCCTCTTTAAGTGATGGAAAAAACGCTCCATCCCATCACGGCAGACACACTAGTGCAGGTCGGAACACAAATATCTCGCAACAGGAAGTTGTGCAATGCATGTACAAAATCTCTACATCTGTGTGTGCTGTTAAATCTAACTATTTCAGTTCACAAAAAAAATATTCCAGTTCCTGAAGACGTTCCCAGCATGTGGAGTGAAATGTCTGACATTGTGCCGAACAACACAACGTACGAACACACATAGTCAAACATAACCCACAGCGAATGCGCTCTTGGGGCACTTGCCTGTCTGCGACCTTATTCGCAGTCACGTGACTGAAAAATACTGAAGTGACGTCATGCTCCCAGGGTGTGTGAGTCAGACTTGCCAGTGAGCGTGTGTAGGTGGGTGCGTCCGAGGCCTGCTTTGTGAATTCCACTGTTTAGTGGCTGGTTTCAATTAGATAGTGGCCGATTCTCAGTGTGCTGCTGCATTGTAAATATTGGTGTGCGCATTTATTATGTGGGATTGAAGCAGTATTGCAATTCAAGTTGGCAGTTCCATTCACATTTTAGGGTGGCAGACCGATTACCCACATTGCCATGAGTTAAATTGTCAAACGTAACCAACATTATGCTCTGATTAGAGTGTGGGATGGTGCTTAATCCATTATAAACCTTGAGTCAGCGTTGTAAATTCCACATGTCCATGCCAGTAGACAGTCTTATTACAAAAACTGCTGGAACCCGTTAAATCAGCATTGACCGACCCGGAGCCTTCTAATTGTGCATCGAGCACCAAACCAAACACCGCCGAGCCGAATAAGGAGCTATAGGTGTGTGCGTTAGGCCTATGACTGGAAAAACGATTAAGACATTTCTTCTTATATATGAAAGTCTCAGCGCGCGTGCGCTTGCGGAGGATTTGACTCTCGGACCGCGGGGTTAGCAGCCCGGGCCCCAGACTCGGCCGGCCGGGCAATCTAGGCGAGGCCGGAGACTTTGCACGGGACTAGGCCTCGTCACGGCAATCTGTCACGGAGTACTTTGTGCAATAAAGTCGATATATACACTGCTACTAGCGGGGAAATATATTTAAAAACGTCTGAAAACTTAAAAACTACATACAAACGAAAAGATAACTAATTAATTTACAATAACAAAACCAGAGTGCGCCAAGAATCGATTCTTTAAATCGCGCAAAGGAATCTAAGGTTGTACATTTCTTTAGAATTGCCCTCTTCCCGTTAACAAAACTTGCTTGCATGTCGCCAAGTATGCTTAACATTTTGAACACACATACTCACAAATTTACCTTTCACATCTAAGATACATAACGTCAGCATGTACTGCTGTCTTCATAGCAGGTACGACCACCACAGTATGCACTGCTGTGATCATAGCAGGTCCCACCACCACACTATGTACTGATGTCATCATAACAGGTACCACCACAGTATGTACTGCTGTCATAGCAGGTACCACGACCACAGTATGTACTGCTCTCATAGCAGGTACCACCAGTGTCAGTATGCACTGCTGTAATCATAGCAGGTACCACCACAGTCGGTATACACTGCTGTTGTCATAGTAGCTACCACCACAGTCAGTATGCACTGCTCTAATCATAGCAGGTACCACCACAATCAGTACGCACTGCTGTAATGATAGCAGGTGCTACAACGTCAGTATGCACTGCTGTAATCATAGCAGGTACCACCACATTCGATATACACTGCTGTCGTCATAGCAGGTACCACCAAAGTCGGAATACACTGCTGTAGTCATAGTAGGTACCACCACAACAATATACACTTCTGTAATCATAGCAGCTACCACCACAGACTATGCACTGCTCTATTCATAGCAGGTACCACCACAATCAGTATTCACTGCTGTAATCATAGCAGGTACCACAACAGCAGTATGTACTGCTGTAATCATAGAAGGTACCACCACAATCAGTATTCACTGCTGTAATCATAGCAGAAAACAACAGCAGTATGGACTGCTGTAATCATAGCTGGTACCACAACAGCAGTATGCACTTCTGTAATCATAGCAGGCACCACCACAGTCGGTATACACTGCTGTCGTGATAGCAGGTACCACAACAGTGGGTATACACTGCTGTCGTGATAGCAGGTACCACCACAATCGGTATATACTGCTGTAGTGATACCAGGTACTACAGTATGCACTGCTGTAATCATAGCAGGTACCACCACAGTAAGCACTGCTGTTATCATAGCAGGTACCACTAAAATATGTACTGCTGTAATCATAGCAGGTACCACCCCAGCAGTATGCACTGCTGTAATCATAGCGGGTACCACCACAGTCAGTATGCACTGCTGTAATAGCAGGTACCACCACAGTCAGTATGCACAGCTGTAGTCATAGGATACCACCACAGTCAGTATCCACTGCTGTAATCATAGGTATCACCAGTCAGTATGCACTGCTGTAATGATAGCACGTACTACCACAGTATGCACTGTTGTAGTCAAAGCAGGTTCCAACACTATCCACTGCTGTAATCATAGCAGGTATCACCCATCAGTATGCACTGCTGTAATGATAGCACGTACCACCACAGCAGTTTCCACTGCTGTAGTGAAAGCAGGTACCACCACAGTCAGTATGTACTGCTGTAATCATAGCAGGTACCACCACAATTAACATGCACTGCTGTACTGATAGCATGTACCACCACAGTCAGTATGCACTGGTCTAGGGAAAGCATGTATCACCAAAAGTAGGCATGCACTGCTGTAGTCATAGCAGGATACCACCACATCAGCATGCAATGCGGTAGTCATAGCAAGATACCACCACAGTCAGCATGCACTGCTGTAGTCATAGCAGGCTACCACCACAATCGGCATGCACTGCTGTAGTCATAGCAGGATACCACCACAGTCACCATGCAATGCTGTAGTCATAGCAGGATACCACCACAGTCAGCATGCAATGCTGTAGTCATAGCAGGTTCCACCACAGTCAGCATGCAATGCTGTCGTGATCACAGGTACCACCACAATATGCACTGCTGTTATCAAAGCAGGTACCACCAGTCAGTATGCACTGCTGTAATGGGTTCCACTGCAGAAGTATGCAATGCTGTAGTGAAAGCAGGTACCACCACAATATGTACTGCTCTAATCATAGCAGGTACCACCACTGTATGCTCTGCTGTAATAGCAGGTTCCACCACAGTCGGTTTGCACTGCTGTAGTGAAAGCAGGTACCACCACAGCAGTATGCACTGCTGTAATCATAGCAGGTACCACCACACTCAGTGTGCACTGCTGTAATAGCAGGTACCACCACAGTCAGAATGCATAGCTGTACTCATAGGATACCACCACCGTCACTATCCACTGCTGTAATCAAAGCAGATATCACCAGTCAGTATGCACTGCTGTAATGATAGCACATACCACCACTGCAGTTTCCACTGCTGTAGTGAAAGCAGGTACCACCACAGTCAGTATGCACTGCTGTTATTATAGCAGGTACCACCATAATCAGTATGCACTGCTGTAGTGATAGCAGGTACCACCACAGCCGGTATGCACTGCTGTTACCATTGCAGGTACCACCACAATTTGTATGCACTGCTGTAGTCATAGCAGGATACCACCACAGTCAGCATGCACTGCTGTAATAGCAGGATACCACCACAGTCAGCATGCAATGCTGCAGTCATAGCAGGATACCACCACAGTCAGCATGCAATGCTGCAGTCATAGCAGGATACCACCACAGTCAGCATGCAATGCTGTAGTCATAGGATACCACCACATTCAGCATGCAATGCTGTAGTCATAGCAGATACCACCACAGTCAGCATGCTGTCGTGATAACAGGTACAACCACAACATGCACTGCTGTTATCAAAGCTGGTACCACCACAGCAGTATGCAATGCGGTAGTGAAAGCAGATACCACCACAATATGTACTGCTGTAATCATAGCAGGTACCACCACAGTCTCTCTGCACTGCTCTAATAGAAGGTACCACCACAGTCAGTATGCACAGCTGTAGTCATAGGATACCACCACAGTCAGTATCCACTGCTGTAATCATAGCAGGTATCATCAGTCAGTATACACTGCTGTAATGATAGCACGTACCACCACAGGATGCACTGCTGTAGTCATAGCAGGATACCACCACAGTCACCATGCAATGCTGTAGTCATAGCAGGATACCACCACAGTCAGCATGCAATGCTGTAGTCATAGCAGGTTCCACCACAGTCAGCATGCAATGCTGTCGTGATCACAGGTACCACCACAATATGCACTGCTGTTATCAAAGCAGGTACCACCAGTCAGTATGCACTGCTGTAATGGGTTCCACTGCAGAAGTATGCAATGCTGTAGTGAAAGCAGGTACCACCACAATATGTACTGCTCTAATCATAGCAGGTACCACCACAGTATGCTCTGCTGTAATAGCAGGTTCCACCACAGTCGGTTTGCACTGCTGTAGTGAAAGCAGGTACCACCACAGCAGTATGCACTGCTGTAATCATAGCAGGTACCACCACACTCAGTGTGCACTGCTGTAATAGCAGGTACCACCACAGTCAGAATGCATAGCTGTACTCATAGGATACCACCACCGTCACTATCCACTGCTGTAATCAAAGCAGATATCACCAGTCAGTATGCACTGCTGTAATGATAGCACATACCACCACTGCAGTTTCCACTGCTGTAGTGAAAGCAGGTACCACCACAGTCAGTATGCACTGCTGTTATTATAGCAGGTACCACCATAATCAGTATGCACTGCTGTAGTGATAGCAGGTACCACCACAGCCGGTATGCACTGCTGTTATCATTGCAGGTACCACCACAATTTGTATGCACTGCTGTAGTCATAGCAGGATACCACCACAGTCAGCATGCACTGCTGTAATAGCAGGATACCACCACAGTCAGCATGCAATGCTGCAGTCATAGCAGGATACCACCACAGTCAGCATGCAATGCTGCAGTCATAGCAGGATACCACCACAGTCAGCATGCAATGCTGTAGTCATAGGATACCACCACATTCAGCATGCAATGCTGTAGTCATAGCAGATACCACCACAGTCAGCATGCTGTCGTGATAACAGGTACAACCACAACATGCACTGCTGTTATCAAAGCTGGTACCACCACAGCAGTATGCAATGCGGTAGTGAAAGCAGATACCACCACAATATGTACTGCTGTAATCATAGCAGGTACCACCACAGTCTCTCTGCACTGCTCTAATAGAAGGTACCACCACAGTCAGTATGCACAGCTGTAGTCATAGGATACCACCACAGTCAGTATCCACTGCTGTAATCATAGCAGGTATCATCAGTCAGTATACACTGCTGTAATGATAGCACGTACCACCACAGGATGCACTGCTGTAGTGAAAGCAGGTACCACCACAGTCAGTATGCACTGCTGTATTTATAGCAGGTACCACCACAATCAGTATGCACTGCTGTAATCATAGCAGGTACCACCACAATTAGTATGCACTGCTGTAGTGATAGCAGGTACCACCACAGTCAGTAGGGAAAGCATGTCCCACCAAAAGTAGCCATGCACTGCTTTAGTCATAGCAGGTACCATCACAGTCAGTATGCACTGCTGTAATCATAGCCGGTCCCACCATAGTCATTATGCACTGCTGTAATCATAGCAGGTACTACCACAGTCAGTATGCACTGCTGCAATCATAGCAGGTACCACCACAGTCGGTATGCACTGCTGTAATCATAGCAGGTACCACCACAGTCAGTATGCACTGCTGTGGTCATAGTAGATACTGCTATTCAGTTGGTACATCATGCTATATAGAGTTAGTAGATACTAAAACAGTCAGTATATACCACTACGGTCAGTAAATACTGCTACAGTCATCAAATACGACTACACGGTCAGTAGATACTACTACGGTCCGTAGATACTGCTATAGCGTAAGTAGATACTGCTATACAGTCAGTTGATACTGTTATACAGTTAGTATTTACTACTATAGTCAGTGGATACTACTATAGAATCAGCAGATACTAC